ATCCCGTAACTGATGTGAAGATCATAGTTAATGTAGGAGAAAACTATACATCCAAATATCAATATAGGATATTTAAGGAAGATTTTGTTTTGAAATATTATGGATAATTTGATAATGATTATTTTATATTTAATTTATATTTCTGATTTTTAGGTTAATTTGTTAAACCAATATACAAAATCATACATTAATGTATTTTTCCTTAAACAAATTAAGATTAATGTACTTTCCCAAACCGATATTGATGGTTTAATTTGGTAAATTTCGAAATAATATATATGGAAACTGGTATTTAATATCCTTAAATTTTTAGTAAGATCCAATACTGAAAAATTCCGGGTTAATTTTTTTTTAAAACCCGACCCAAGAAGCATTTGTACTTCTCTTTTATTATAGTAGGGATAAGATACTCTTAGAAAGGTTTAATATATTATAGAAACTCTTACTAATGCCCTAATATTATAACACTTAATTTAAACTCTAAATTTTTTAAAATATAATAATGAGAATTTTTGAGAAATACCCCTTTTGGTGTACACCTTTTTAAAAATACCCCTCTTTTCTATCCATTTTCAAAAATACCACTTTTTAAATATGAAAAATTATAAATTTTTATATGGTTGATAAGGTACATCAAGATCATCTTTACTACTGCGTAACTAAATCCAAATATTTAAAAGGTTTTAAAAGGTTCTAAACGGCATTTATAAGGTTTTAGAAGGTTTTATATGGTTTTTATAAGGTTTACAAAGTTTTTATAAGGTTTTTAAATAATTTTTAAAAGGTTTTTAAATAAAAAAGGTTTTAAAATGTATTTATGAAATATATATTTATAAATTTACACACATATAAAGATAATTTGTGTCTATAAATATAAGCTTACACATATTTTTTGATAAATTTTAAAATTTATAGTGACTTTTTGATAAAATTAGAGGGGTATTTTTAAAAAATGTTATTGGAAAAGGGTATTTTTGAAATTCCCCCATAATATTGTACATAAATATGATTGGACGGATTTGAGTTTACATAAATAGGATTATATTTTTCTTACGGGTTGTATATAATAAAATATTTTTACGGGTTAAGTTGAAATATAATTTGTTTTACAACAAAATTATTCTGCGGTGTACCGCGTGTTGACCACATATATTTATGAATCTACTTATAATACAAATTCATAAAATTATGTAAAATTAAATGAAATAAACACGTGCAAAAATAGACTATATAAACCAACTACGAAAATGAACAACTAAACAAATATATTAAATTATGGACCCGTGGTACACCATGGGTAAATCCTAGTTATTACAGTCAAAATTTAAACCAACTTTAATAAAAACTTTATAATGGTTAGACAAACCAAGAAAAACTGAATTCCAATCTGAACTTAACCAAGAAAATATATCTGACTAAAAATCTGAATCCGAAAAAAAAAATCAAACAATACCAAGCCATCAATTTTGGAAACCAAACCGAATCAAAAGCTGAATTGACTACGTTTTCCTCAAAAGTTAACAAAGAACCTTTCAATCAAAACCGTATTAGCTGGTTATCTAAAATTCCCGGTTCAGTGTGGTTAAAATCCCGGTACGTACATTTACCTCAAAAGAAAGAAACCCTCAAAAGAGAAAGACACTTTGGAATCAACGATGGAGGAAGCAGCAGAGTATCACTCCAAAGATTTCGAATGGGACTTTTTGAAGAACATAGTCGAGAACGATCCTTCTCTCTCCCACCACCTCCACCACCAACAACAACACAACAACGATTCACAAAAATATCTCCAAGATCCGCATCCATGGCAAAAGTTTCACTCCCGTCACTCCTCCGGCAAATTCTTCAAGGTACCACCACCACACTCCTCAATTTCACCGATTAGTTTCTGATTCCAGAATCAATTTGAAGATTGAGATTTGAGATTTGATATTGAGATTTGAGATTGAGATTTTTGGAAGAATGATGTAGAATATTGAGATTGAGATGTTTTAGATTCGTCTTTCATGTAGGAAAGAAGGTATCTGTTAAAGGAGTTTCCTGAGTTGGTTTCTTGTGGAGAGAATTCAAATCTTTTGGAAGTTGGTTGTGGTAATGGCAGTACCGTGCTTCCGATTTTGCGGTATAAACTCTTTTCGATCTTTACTTGCAGTGTCTCTTTGTATAGATTGTTGTGTATTGGTTAATCTAGAGTTAAGTGTTTCTTGAGCTCAAGAAGACGCGAAGGATATACGTTTATATACAGAGTCTTAGATGTTTGTTTACCCGAAGTTGGAGTAATGTTTATGTGGTAGATTTGTTGAATTGTCTATCTTATTGTTATTCTTATGTACTTGTATTTGTTGTTTTTGATTTTCTGCAGTGGAAACAAGAACATTACTGTATACGCTTGTGATTGTAGCAGTGAGGCTCTTGTTAGAACTAAAGAGAACATTGATCTTGCTATTGATACAGCTGAGAACTTTCATTCGTTCTGCTGTGACTTTTCAATGTCTGAGTTCCCAGATTGGGTGGCGTGTGATCGTTGTCGAGGCAACTTTATGCTTAACCATTCAGGTTTTAGTCTCTTTCCATTCGAAATCAGTTTTTCTCAGACACTAATTCACTAATTCATCCTGCAAAAGATGCACTCTGATCTCTTTTACATGTTTTGAAGAAGGGAGCGAGGGGATGCGGGTGAATTACAAATGTTCATTGAATGACCGTTGCATTGGTGGGGTGGATTTTGTCACTCTGGTATGTGAACATCGCTCATATAATTAAAGTACCTATGGAGTGGAAC